CGAAAAGACAGAAAGTGAGAAGAAAGACAAAGAGAGAAAGAGAGAGGATTTAAAAACGGCGCGCAAGAGAGTGTCGTCCCCGGCGACGAAAGCAACAACACGTTTTTAGTGTCAAAACTCTTCCGCTGAGAACTGAAATCCAGAAAGCTTCGCCAAGGAAACACGACAGCTTCGGCAACGACGAAGATGCATCAATCAAGCCTGCAATCAAATACTCTCACGGCCGTCCGACGCGGTTGCTTTTTTTTTTTTTTTTTTTTTTTTCTTTTTAACATTCCGAGTTTTTCAATCCATCGTTCAACCATTAGTAGTAGGAGTTACATCATTCAATGATCCCACATTACTCTGGCCCTAACCGTGAACTCGCAACGTCGCCTCGTGCGTCGCCTTGCCGGACGGATTGCTGGCGATACACGTGTAACGTCCAGCGTGCTCCGGTGTTACCGGCTCGATCAGCATGATACTCGTCCGTGGGCCGAGTTTCCCGACGTTGTATCCCATGAATTGCGACAGAGGCTGGTCCTCGTGGGTCCAGGCAATATCGATCGGTGTGTCACCCACCAGCACCATGCACGCCAATTGGGCGGCCTGCCCCGCATAAATCGGTTGATCCCCAAAATCGAACGGACTGATCCGTGGCAAGACTGGAATGATAGTCTCTAGCTAGATCCACGATACGGTACGGTACACGCTCCCATCCTGCGATCAAATTCTCGTCGACCCACTGGATTGTTCGTGGCCTGGATATCTCGTGGTCATATTCATCGTCGATTTTTCACTCGGCTCGTCGGATTTGTCATCCTAGGATCCGCGAACGAGACGACTCTCACGACTCTCGTCTTTCACATCCGATCTCTCGGTAGTCCTTCTCCGTTCCCGCATCGAAAGACCTACATCGTTACGGGGGAACGATCGCGATCGGAAACTTTAGCCTGATGCGCCGAGTGAAACTTTTCGCCTCCCTCTGTGCGGAATGGTCGTTATGCGCTCGGTAATGATTCGCGCAGGTTTCAGAAGAGAGGGATCGAGAAAGAAGGCCAGACAATGAAAGAACAGAAAGTAAGAGCGAAACGGAAAGAGAAAGAGAGACATGAAATATATATATATATATATATATATAATATATATGGTGTGTGTGAACGTGTAAAGTGTCGAGAAGGGAACGAAACGAGAAAGAGAACTGGACCTGGGGGATATGAAGGAGGAACTTTAGCTCGTCCTGAACTACGGACAAATTACCTTTGATCATGGTAGCCCAAGGATAACGAGAGTGGGACTGTAGTGTCCAAAAGCTATACTCGGCCGAGCGACCTACCTAAACGATGATGCTTCGAAACAAACGATGCGGGAATGATAATTATAAGTGTAAGAAAGAAAGAGAATGGACAGTCGGGCAAATGCAGACTTTCCAAAAAACATATTCAATATATGTACGCTATTACAACAATCAACAGCAGACAACGGTAGAGACTTTGGTTTTAATTCTCTCTCAAAATATATATAATAAATATGTAGATATAGATATACGACTACTACTTGAACTACGAGTCACGCAAGAACGGATAATCAATTCAATTAATGAAAGAAAAACAAAAACATCGCTCCGTATTTTTTCTTTTTTTTTTTTTTTTTCTTCGACTCGAATCAACAAAAGTAACGTAACGCAACACGTATTAAAAAAAAAAAAAAAAAAAAAAAGAGAGAGAAAAAAAGAACGTATATAGCAACGGCGTTCCAACGGGCTACGCGCGGAATATCACACGGCTGTGGTTATAATGTCACAACATCATGCCGGTTTCCAATCGTTTCGGATATACCACACGTTCGTTCCGACTTCTGGCTGAATTATACCATGATTACGTGCGTGATCTCTCGTTTCTCTGTACCATTGACTTTGAGATGGGCGCTGTGCCTAGCACGACCGGCTGGATTATCGGCGACGCAAGCATACTCGCCGGCATGCTCTCCCCTGACTGCGGGGATCGTCAGAGCGGACACTCTATCCCCCAACGCGGTGATACCCACTCCGTCGCCTACTTCTAAATGGCGTCCCTCGAACAACCACTTGAGCGAAATCGGCGTGTCCCCCTTCACGACCGCGCAATGGACGATTATCAGATCGCCGGAGTTGGCCTCGTCGAACGAGAACGGCTGCAGATGCGGAGCGACTGCCGAGAGATAGAGACAGATTGACTCTAGAGTCAGGCATAGATACAGATACAGATACAAAG